TTCAGCTCGGAATTATTATTCCATAGACTGGAATAATAGAGGCCATATTCATCCATTTGTAGGTTGGCAAAAAACGAATGTGTGTGTGCGTGTGTATGTGTCAGAGGGCTTCTGATTCATCGCCCGTCACTGAAGTGACAATTGACTAAGAGGTGGATCCTCTGAGTTATTGGAGCATCAAAAAGTCACTATAGTACACCTGACTGTTACGGGCAGAGTAATTTCATAGTGCACTAAAGTGCAATCACTTGGATGTCTGTTTTAACCAATTAGAGGGAAAGAGAGAAGGTGGAGGAAGGGAGAAGCTGATCCCTATGGGCAATCGGCAATTCAATTTTTCATTCTCCTCCTTTTCATGCAATGTTTAAATGGAACACAAATTCCCTATCGGCGTGCCCACAGTAAAAGAACAGTTGGTGTGGCAAGGGACATTGTCAAATCCAATAAATTTTCTTTAACCATTAATTATTCATATTTTGAAGCTTGAAACGAATATAGTTCTTCCTCCTGTAAGGAAGGCGGAGTTCTCTTTAGCGCGAAACGTTATTAAGCTAGCTTTAAGCGAAATTTAGCGGATATCCAAATTAACCAACATTTTTTCCATAATCAACGAATTGGTTACGAATTTTCATTAAAAATAGCCATGTCAGTTGGACTAATGTGACGGATCAATAAGTGCAGATTAATCAATAGTCCACTGCAATAATCTATTAAGAATATTCAGTCTATTTTAATGATCTAAACCGTCTCTAATGAATTTTATTTATTGGAAGAGAAGTTTTAATAATTACACGAGCTAACAAGCAAATAGTGTTAACCAGAAATTATATTGTGCGAATAAGTAAACTTTCCATATTTTACTAATTTAACATGCTTTATTGGCCAGGCATGAGATTTTATTTGGTTTAGAACATATACTCATACGACAAAAAAGTCTATTATTCGGCAGTTGACTTCTGACTTCGAACTATCATGGCCCCACTGTATGTCATATTCGATCACTTTCGCAGTACTCATCTTATCTTTTCTCTGCATTTGTGGCCATCTGTCTCTTTTATATCTATGAATCACTCTTCTTTCTCCCCTCTCGAATTTCTCTAACTATGATGTTCCTCCCCTCTATGAAGTCCGAAGTCAACTAAAGGGCTAATGAAAACTATCAAAACGCCTGCCATTTGAAATAAATAGATAGATTTATTTTAGATCTGGAATTAAAATCGTTTGAGCAAATTTTTTAAGTAAGTTATCAAAATCCTTTATCCAAAATCCTTGAAATAGAACTAAAATCTTTCAAAACCAGATGACAATTTTGAGAGGGTTTCTGCCCCATATTGTAGAGTTAGATCAGCACATCAATGCTTATTACAAATTACTCTAGAACCGATTATTGATTTTAATATTCTTCTGTGACTTTTGCGTCCATGATTTAACATATTCTGTCATCCTTATCAATAAAAAAATAAACCCTGAAAATTAGTCTGCACAACTGAATGTAGTGAGCTGCAATCGACTTAGCTGAAGACTCATATACCTACAATGAGACCCTGCTAAATTAAAAAGCCATCATTAAGATAAGACAGCTAAGTTAGCTATTTTTGAGAAACATAGATTAATTTCAGGGACTGTCTAGCCTCACATTAAGCTCCATTAGTAATAGAAATAAGGAAATCATGCTCAAACAGACAAAATATTAATTAACTTGCCCAATTAAGCTCGCCTACTTTTATGCCCCTCGAGTCAAACACACTCATACCATCTTGTTACATACTGCAACACAGCAGCCAAACTCGGGCAGCTAACAAATAAAAGCCATTATTTGCGTTAAGTTGTTAACATATTACCCAACAACGTCGAGCTAATCGATAAACACAAGGAGGAGAAATCATCCTGCTATTGGCGCACTACTGTCTAATTACCTTGGGATTAACCAATCAGCTAGTAATGCTAGCTCGACTAGTGATCTAATTGGTGAATAGGAGTGGAATGAAAGTGAAAGGGGTGTTTGCATAACACTACGTCACCGCTTCTCCCTATCTCGTCTATTAATAAGGTGGGATTTAAGCCCTTACATTCGGCTGAGCTGGTGCGTGCCCGAATGACATGATAATTCAAATTGCGTACTTAACTCAATATGATGAGTAAGAAGAATGTACTCAATAGATGGTACTATGATTTAGCTCTTGAGTGCGCATTAAACGGTGTGCATTCTAAATTGACTTACTCCCATGTGGGTTATGGTAGCTAGTGTCGTTTGCGTGTGCGTCTCTCGAAAGGGGCTAAATCGGAATTTTAATTTGATTGAGAGAGGGGGTAGTCGCATTATAGACAACTTTACCTAACCCACAATTGCTTGTCAAATATTCACACGGATCCAACTTCGATTAGCATTTAATTATGCAAACACGAAACTACTTGTGCATTTTAGCATTTATGCCAACTAATCAGGCACGTGAGAAAAGAAATATCTTGGGGTTGCCTACGTGACCACCTGTTGAAGTTGCCTAGCGCAAAGCATTATTTCAAGACATATTATTTCGGAAGACAAATTGGAATAAACTTTTGAAGCCAAAAGTCTACACCATTTGTTTGTTTGCAAGCTTCTTCTATAAAAAATGGCACACGTATGATTCAGAAGAGATTGGTTTATTAGGGCTCTTACGGGATGATAAAAGTGCGCGTAATGCATTTTTAATTTTGTAAGCCCTGGAGGAAAAACAATTACCAATTTATTTTCTCCCACGGGTGGTGGAAATTCCTACAATATATATCACAATTTGAGCCTATAAAAGCGCAGAAATTCATCGAATAGGTGCGAATTGCTTCGTGCCGATTATTAAAAACATGAATAAAACTTAACTTAGCGTGTAAAGAGATGAATATATGGACAAGAAAATTGACACCATTGTGACAAATGTAACATTTAATGCTCCATTAATGATTTCAAAAAGTACTTGAATAGGACAGAAAATCTACAAAAGTAACTTAATTCAACTGTGAAATTAAGCTACTGTGGACCTGCTAGCTAGTAGAATAGGAGACGCAGTTAAAGAGATGTGCAGAGACGCTTACACACATGACTCAGCCTTGCCTTGGCAGTTCCCACGACTGCAGTGTAAATTCACATCTTTGTCTTGCCTGCGACAAGTACGCACACAGTCGCACAACACCAATGCAGCAAACTGCAAACGTGGAGGAATATCGATTTTTGATGCCAACATGTGAACGCACATTACAAGAGTGCGAGTGAAATACTGTGAAAATGCGCAGAATAAATTAGAACGCAGGATGTACAATCCTGGATTATTCAGCGGTAGAGAGAAGGAACCTAAGATATGAATACAACTACGGAAAACAGTCTGCCAGGATATGGTTGTGGCGTAGAAATTACTTAAGGCAAGCCTAGAGTAAACAACCTTTGTTCTACACCGAATAAACAAACGCCCAAAACCAAATATCACCATGGCAACCTGGGCGGAGCAGACCAAGTCACAGCGAAATAGAGATTATCTAAAGAAAAAATCAAGCGGTTCCACAAGAGATGAGGAGGGAGTAATAACGGCTTAGCATTGCCGAGGAATACCAGTGCCAAATTTTGTACGATTTACTAACAGAGAGAGAGCGTGGGTCAAAGCTTTAAGGCAGAAAAAGCCTGAACGACCTAAGCTTATAAAGCACGGCTTAAATAATTTAAATTTTTGTAGAGATTTTTAGAATCCTATCAAATAAAGAAGGATACTACTTGGGTAAAATGGAAGCGCTTCGCCAACGGCAAAATTTTGATTGGTTCGCACGACCTAAATAAGCGGAGCATGTGACGTAGATCGAATACAGCCACTGGGTTTGCAACTCGCGGGGTGAATAATCAATACTTGTGTTATTTTTAACTCTTGTATTATTCACAAGAGGACAGGAAGGGTTGGGAGAAGGAGGCAGCCAACCAACCAGACATCGAGTCATTATGCCTTGAATATTTCAGTTTCTAAGGCTATTTGCCACACTCAGGCATTGAATTGATAAGATTGCGTAAATCCATTAGAAACAACAGCACATTATTCCAATGGGGATTGCGCAACAGCACTTTCTACAAAATCTTTTTGAGTAAAGGATAGCTGGGCAATAAAATTAAACTCACGTGCGAAATCCCCCACGGAATGCTTATAAAACCAAATGAATAAGTACGAAGTATAATGAGGTCATAGGCTCCGAAGTAAGTGATGTGAGATGATGCTAAGTATAATTTTTTCCCGCAAAGAATTAGAATGTCAACTTGTATCAGACCGAAAACAAATATAGTAAACAAGTATCCAACTTAACCAACTACCATCGAAAAAAAAATTAATGGCAATGTAGAACCCTCTTAAGAGTTGCACGAACATCGTTCAATGTCAAAGGTGAGATATGAAAAAATGTAAAGATACAATAGCGAGCCAATAAAAATAAAGCGAAGATAGATGTTGCAGCAAATTGGATTTAACCAATCAGGATAAAATGCGCAAATATAGTACGAGAACACAGGGGCGTTAATTCTGGAGTCAATGAAACACTAAAATACAATAATTCCCAAAAAAGTTTCAAAAACAAATATTGATGAAAAGTCAAAATATTTATAAACATAAATAAATTTAGATCATTTAAAGCACATTATTAACCAAAAAATAAATTATAAGAAAGCTTATTAAATACACGATTATTTTCGTATTATTTTAATAATTTATTATTAAGGTACCTGAAAAATATGTTTAAAGTGAATTTTAAGAATTAAACATCAGTTCTTAATAAAATAATAAATAAAAACCCAATCGACATCCAAATCACATAGCAGTAAATTTAAAATTAACACTTATAATATTGATATTAATAATAAGACGAACTTTTTAAAGTCTTATGTTAAGTATTGAAAACTGTTTGTTTCGTTCTATGGCTTAAGAGTCGAGTTATGTGTCCTAAATAGCCTGCCATATCAATATTTTCGTTGTTTGTTGCACGTGATTTCGGGGTGAATGGCTCCTAAAGTTACGGATCCTCGTAAAGTTAAATATTTTGAAGGAAGATCAGAATTTCTTCTTCGACACTGTCGACCAGATGAGAAAGGTAATTATTTTAAGATTTAAGTACATTGATAATCTTGCCTTTTGAAATACAACCTGTCCATTTTGTAGAAGAATTTGTTAAAACCACATTTATGGAACTTATGAAGGATGGTTGGTCACTTTGTACAAATGGAAGAGTTGCCAATTGCATAGAGAAAATGGTTCCGTATGCCACTGCTGAAGCAATTGGATTACTCTTAAAAACCCTTACAAAAGAAATACATTCAGTTCTTAACACCAAATTTGCACACCATGTTTTGCACGCTGCACTACGGCACTGTGTTGAAAATCCAGAATTTCGTGATGACACCCTGATTTCGTCATCTATTGAAGAATATCTCGACTTTATGTGGGAGAACCACATGACACTACTTCAAGGAACTCATTCTTCTCCTGCATTGAGGATTTACGTTCAACTATTAGCAGGTGTCAGTGTTCCTAAATCTCCTCATTCTGGTCTCTACGATGTAACCAAAATCGCTCTTTCTGATCCCCTTGATCCACAAACATATAAAAGCAAAATAACGGAGTTGGTAAATGTATTTTTACTCTCAGAAGGATTTAATAACTACGTTAGAGATGCTATGTCTGGCGCTTTTCTTCAGATACTTCTAATAATTTGTTATAAGCGGATGGAGAGCCATTTCGAAGCAATTTGTTCGACGATCTTTCGCCGATCAAAAATTCTGAAAACAGATGAAGAATCTGAGGTGATTAAACTGTACGGCGATTATAATCATGCGTATGTCATTTTATTTTTCTAATATTGAATAATTTATGAAGTAGTTTGAAAAGCGGGTGATTATTTCTTATAGGCTTCCGATGGGATTCTCTGATCCTGTAGCGATTTTCTTTACGGAGACTCTAATTGGGCTTCTTCCTGGTCGTTTAGTTCAAAAACTGCTCGGGGATCATATTCTAACCATCTCGTTGTCTTCAGAGGATTCTGAGGTGGAGACAAAACCATCAATCGCTTCGGCTCTAGCTGGCCACGAGAATGCTTGCCGAGTTTTGCGGGCTGTGATTAGATCAACAAAACATGCCTCTGACTTACAATCCATCATGTCTTCACTTCAACTTCCTGGGTATGATGGGAAACTCGGTTTAGAGGTGGCTTTGAAAGCTAATCAGCATTATCTTCTGATTGTGCTGGCTGAAGCCTGTCGGAAATGTACTGGCTCAAGTGCTGAACGCCTTCAGGATATCTGTGAACAGGTTTGTCAATTTTAGTTTTCCTGTTTCTCTAAAGTGACAAGTCGAGGAAGGTTTCATTTTAGACTATTTTCGCAATACTTTACCCCCATTTAATGTGAAATTTGGCTCTTGTGGTGTAGTTGTTTGTGTAATTGTGCCTACAGCCGAATGCCACGAATTCGATCCCCCACAATACAGATTAAGCCGGTCTAAAAAAAGAAATTTGTGAATCTGAGTTTCTCATCGGTATCAACTAATAATGCTATCTGGACACTTAAAAGGGGTTTTGGGTGTCCAAGTTATAATACCAAACAAGGGTATGTTGTTCAACTAAGGTGCAATAATCCCTAATTAGTTTTACCATTTTGATTAATTGGAGATGCTGAAAATCAGTATCATTGTGTCCTGGGTCTACTCAAAAATGTCAATATAAGTATTTCCTATAAATAAATTACTACAGATTGAAGTAATGTTATACTGGTGGGTTTTGCATAATGTCGCCCCCATAGTATGTCATTGTTCATTTTGCATAAGTGGCTCTTAGGTAATGGGAGCACTGCCACAGTTTAGGTTTTCTTTAATACCCTTTATTTTAACAGAAATACTGAGCGGTTACTCTCATACCTTATGTCTGTAGCAGGAAGTAGCAACGTTTTGTGAGTCAGTATCGTCCTGGTATGATTTGTTTGCTTACTTTCGTCTTTCTGTAATATTAAAGTGATAGACCACGGTTCTTTGCTGTTGTATATCGCTCTCACGGAGACGTTTAATGACCACCAACCCCCTACTTTCATTTTAGATGCTTTTGGAGGCATTTGGTTTCCCTCTGAAGACGAAGAAACCAACTGATCAGCTAATCAAGGCTTTCGTTCGACTTAAACGCTTCGCCGAGTTGAAACCGCCGAAGGACGGTGATGGTGGTACCAGTTGTGAGGATAATGGCGAAGAGGAACCACATGAAATTAAAACTGAAGATGCAGGCCAAGGTGAAGTAGTAATCGCTTCGAGTAAGTTATCGGTTCTATATAAAAATTCCTGACTTTGGCTTCAATTTGATTGTTGCATATTCGATACTTACTAACACAGTTTCCATTAACTGTTTAATTGGTAATTCTTGTTACCTTTAATTAATATGTAAGTGAATAAATGCAAGTTTCTCGTCTGTAGGTCTTAATTTTTTATATTTAAAATGCGTATTAGAAAAGTGCTTTCCCAGAATTTAATTATAAATCCCTATTGTACCTTGATATTTTCTATCCTGCAGCCTTAAAAGGTCTGTTGAAAGTCAGTAAATCTGCTGTTTATTATTGCAGTCAAAGAGGCAAATTCGTAGTTTTAAGTTTTGCCTTTAAGAATTTTGCGTTTCTTTTAACTCCGCCATCGAGCATGACATTTCAATACGTGACAGTCTATTCAATCTGGTCTATTTTAAAATCCACTAATTTCAGCATTCCGATACCTTAACCTATGGTGTGTTTTTAATAAAGTAATCATTTTGCGTTTCGCAGTTATCGTAGTAAATAATTGACTCTAGGAGGTTCTTTGCCTTCATTTACAAATTTGTTTTTTTTTAAAAATGTGTCTTGATCCCACTTGATGTTGCTTATTTCAGTTTCACCGCGTATCATGATTTTGTATGTGCTTCCTGTCTCTTGAATCTACTGATACTGACCTGTTTTCTTCTCCCAATTAGCCGATGAAAAGGTAACATCCTGTCAGTTGGCGGGTTGTCTACTGGCAGAGGAAGTATTCGGATTCACCAGTCATCGTCCTATACGCCTCGCAGCAAGTTTAGCCTCTCTTCCACCCAATGAGATGTTCGCATGGTGCCGAAATTGTATGCTTCATCGGGTCATTGAAAGCGCCATAATCTCACCTTCTGTCCCCGAACAAAGAAAGCTACATATTTTTGAGTCTCTCAAGGTAACTACACTGTTATGCTTCATAAAAGCGAGATAACTCCAATCCCATCCATTCTATTGCACTATTTCGTTCGGTTTAGGCATAGATATTCTCTGTTTGGTTTTTAAAAATGCTTTTGAGTAGGAAATCACAATCGCACGTTTGCTCTTCAATACAAAGAAGTTAAGGTATATTTTAAGCACTAATCGAATCATGTTTTCTATATTTGCAGCCTGTTTTGAAAATACTCGCTACAGATCAGTCTGGAAGTCGCGTAGTAGAGGCTCTATGGCGAAGTGGAGATATTGCCACCTCACAGCCCTCAAAGCAGGCCAACGCTATGATCTCCATTCGAGAGGAATTGGCCAAAGCCCTTGCCCCAGCCTCCGATCGAATAGCCAGCTCTAAATTCGGTCGTTTTGTGGAAAATTTGGTGGGTAGTGCAGCCTACTCCAAAAACCCCAAACTTTGGCGAGAAGCTAAACTCTGCGGGTCCCACACTACTACTGCCGTGGGGACACAATTAGTGTCTGCAGGCAAGGGAGCCCCAAAAAGCACCTTCAAAAGAAAATTGCCTACAGATTTCCGCAAACTAAAGCGACTGGAGGAGAAACAGAACAAGAAAACTAAGAGAAGCTGTACTTAAAGCATACTCTGTGTACATAAATCTGCTTTCATTACCTTTGTCTTCATTCTTATCCAATCTGATGGGGTAGTTTTATGATAATAGTGCGGTTTCTGTCATCATTGCATATGATACAAGTCATACTAACCATAAGATAGCACCGATGGAAATTTACATTTAATGACTTGTCGTGTTGTTCGTCTAGAATACGATAAGTGGACTCAAATAAATAATATCATCAATAGAATTTCAATACAATATAGAAAATTAAAGGTTATTACCATTTTTCTGTACAGGGAGGGGGGTGGGGAGGAGGGGAATATGGACTACATGAAGATGCATAAAAAATAGAAGACACAGGTTTAATAGTCTACAATGAAAGTGTGCAGGCGCTTAAGCAGTTCTTTGTCACTCAGGAAAGAATTCATTTCTTCAAGAGTAGACCAGGCAAAATTCGCCTGATTTTTTCCATCATCAGAACTCTTTTCAACCATCACATTTTCTCCTCTCCAAAGCTTGTCTACATAGGCATTTAGGAAGTACATCTGAAAGCACAAAACAAAACTAGGTGATACAAGTTGACACGAATGAACAGAGAAGCGTGCAGCTGACGAAACGAACCTGTACATGCTGCTTGTCGCCATTGGGCATACGATAGGCATACTTATGCACAGCTACAGGAGCATTTCCTACAATTTTCCAATGCGATTCAGAAGGTAGAAGGGAGTTTGCCAGCTCTTCAGCTGCCTAAAATTATTCCGGGAAGAGAGATTAAAATAAAATACTAAAACATGCAAATAACCTCCCCAAAATTGTATACCCCTTTGGCAATTTTATTTATCAACACTTTTATTTCATCAATTGTAATATGTATCCAATAGTCATAAAGAGCAGCCAAACACTATGACTAGACAATATCGATTTAAAATAAGCAACTGTACCACAATATGCTGAAATTTTTGTGATATGCTATCTCAGTGACTGCTTCGGTTCTAGTAGCTCGCACTTAGTCTTCTATTATTCATAAATGAAACAATTTAAGTCCTCAGCGTGGTTAGACGCTTAAACACGAGAGCGAGGAGATTGTGGAGAGTTTAAATCAGAAAGACTCCTACGATTACCTCTCCTTGCAATCAATGATAAAGCTAAGTGTATATATAGCTCAAACTTGCCGATCGAAGAGTGGCATTGGCAGTGACTTCAATCACGGGTAAACCCCAATCGAACGTGCTGCCAAGCCGTTGACGAGTCAGGAGAACCAAATTGCGATCAAGGTGGCGCCAAGCGGTATTTGTTGGAGACGTCTTACCTCTCCCTTCCAACTCATCGTTTTCTCCTCTGGGTTGGATACCTATTTATTAAGAAAGAGAAGACTAATTATTACAGTAACGGTAGGGTAAAAGATTACATTGCTATGCCTTCGATGAAGAACGTTAATTAGAGCCATCGATTTGACTACTACAAAATCTAGAAAAAAAATATTGCTATTTCAAAGACTCACAAGACTATTTATTAGAGTATTTCAAAACTCATCTTAAGTAAAGGACCTCCACAAACCAGGCTTGATTAGTGCATTAGAACGTTCTGTTCAATAACGACGATAATAGAACTCGTGAGATCGGACTTCGCAGGCAAGTATATTTACCGACGTAACAAAGGTAGACAAGGACCTTGTATGGAAATCATCAAAGAATTCTGTTTAAGGGAAGGCCATAGAGACTCAGAAGTCGTAAAAAATAAATGATTGAATTCAAAACTAGTTCAGGATATATGATACAATCTCTACCAATTTTAGAGCAAGAAGGCAGATTATTTGGTTAAAAAAGAGGGAATATTAGGTCATTTTTTATTTTAGATGATCAGTCTATAAAAACCAATTGGTAGGATAAATAATTTGTCGATACTTAATTATTAAAGGATCGTAAGGATCGGTGGAATTTCAAAAGAGGGCATGAACATGGAAGGACCATATTTGAAAGCTCATGTGCTCGAAAAAAAGAATTTTGAACATTAGAACCAGATTCTTTCAGTAATAAAGGAATTGGAAAAATTAACCGATTTTAAAGTAATTCGGTGGCTAAATCGAGGCAATTGATGTAGAACCACTTAATGGCTAAAATTTTCAAAGTTACGGAAAATCAAAAATAAAGTCTACGTACATAAACCAAATATCAAGAGACGAGTTTATGATTTCTAAACAATGGGTAGATAAGTGAATAAAGATGAAAATAATAAATCGACATAAGTATTTTATAAATTCTCGAAAATAATATCATTCTGATGAAAAGACTCCCACTGCATCTATTTAACATAAGCAAGCTCAAACGAAAAGGAAAAAGGCAAAAAGACACTGAAAGCAAACCTAATTTGCCGATTTCGTTCCAAAATTCCTTTTCACCAGATTCCCAAGAGAGTTCCATATCCTTAGCAGTGAGAAGTGAGGCAACAGATTCGTTGGATTGATGCTGGCGAGGTGAATTAGAAGGGGACCGCTTTCCACCGGATTGTTGACTTCGAGAACTTTGAGCCATACGTTCAAGATCGTCGCGATGACGAACTTCGTGTGCGGAGAGATGACTCTGTTGAATCTCTAAATCAGCGTAGAAATCCCGCATTTTACGTTGGAATGGTGTCAGAATTGGACTCACAATAACAGGCCGACGAATGCACAAACCAGCAAAAATCTTCCACATTTCTAATTCGGCAGTCACCGAATGAAGGCAAAAAATGCGTAAAACAAAATATGTAAAAATGGCATAAAATTTCGACACAAAGTTTATATTTTATATTAAAGCATGCGTGAATTATAATGAAATATGCTAGACGATTTCATTTTCATATAAATATAATGAATTACTCGCCATGCCTATGTGATAGACAAAATGCGATCTAGGGCCCAATGAGCTTATAGAGTTAATGAGGAATATTTTGCGGCTTTTCTAAATGAAAATGTCAAATAATATATGAATGATACTGAGAAATTTTTAATGGAAGGCTTTCACAAACACGAATGCTCGGAAAATTGAAATAAATCTACATAATTTCAAACTGCGTTTCTTAAATTTGCTCAAAGAGCTTAGATTAATTTGGTTGTCTTATTTAAATCGTAATACTATTTATGCAAGGAAATTGTGAATATCTAAACTATTTCTAATCGAAATTGTCACGTCGTAACCTAGCGTTTCACCTGGTCGGTTATCTTTATTTGTGAGTAATTCGAGACGAAGAGAAAAACCTGAAATTTTTTAGCACTTCAAATTTTGCATGGGCAAGTGCAATTTGAAGGATTTAAATTTAAAATATGTAAAGATAGAGGTAAATGGGATTTGAATATTCGTAGATAAATATTAGTCATAAAGATGTGACGTTGATTTTATAATGTTCTCGTTTATTTCTTAATTGTCATTATTATCGCAGTAGCTATTTATTCAGTGATGATTTAGAGACTAAAATACTTTCATTGCCCCCATCTGAACTCGTTTTCTGGGCGATCGTTAGGGAGTCATAACTCTAAGAAATTTGTATTGATACTCTTTTCAATATTTTTACCTCGTTTCCTCTCAATAACCTAAATTGACTATTAATTTAATTATATTTAAAACTTTTCTCCTAATTCATTACTATCTATTTTTAGTGGAAGCTGACAATCAAGGAAGCACCCTGGTTTAGTACCCAGTCGCAATGCTCTGATTGGAGTCGTTCATGATCAAGTATTTAAGCAAAATTTTTAATGTAAACACTTCTAACTTATCCGAAAATCATTTATTAGCTTATTTCAATAGATTTGATGTAATTTATTTTAGGCGATTAAATATTCTTCACCCATGAACCCATTTGATCATGAGTGAAGCAAATTTTGTAGCCAATCAGAGGAAAGTATTTTGAAGTGTTCTTATTCTATTACTTAGAGTTCTGTGTTGCAGTAACTGCTTTAAAAGGTAGAAGCTTCTGCGATAGCTCCCCGTAAATTTTCGTTCTCACGAATGTCATAATTGAAGACTGGTTAATGAAATAATTCCAAAATTTTATTAAAGCACACATCGTTATTTAATTTTAAATAGGATAGCCAGCTCTTAAAATATACCGTAAGCAAAAGATTAAGCGAATATCCTGAAATTGAATTCCCAAAATGAAGTGATCACATTGTAGACATATCTTTAATAGTGAGGGCTCTCGGGTTTCTATCAAGTGGAAATGGTATCTTTCTAGGAAAATCTCCAGAGTAATTGCCAGGAGGTCTGTATTGTCCAACCACAATCGCCACATCTCCCTCCCTTGTTTTCGACATACCGAATCCTGCCCTCTTAGTGTCTTTCCATATGCACTGCGTGAAATGACCTTGAATAAAGAAAGTTGGAATGAGTCAGGATAACTTTATTGCATAAGGATCTTACCTCATAATCTACCATAAAACTTACAGAACTGGATAATATATATAAAATTTATATGCAAAAGATGTAAAATAACCACACAAATCCGAAGAGGAAACTTAAAAAACTAATATAATTGAGTTGCAAATGAATAAGAGAGGGGCCTTGAGATTCATTTTTAAACCGAAATCTGGATTTTAAGATACTTTAAGGAATCTGATATTAGTGTCAGCATGAAATTAAACCATTGGCAGATCGTTACAAATTAATTCAGAACATAGAGGTCCATTCGCATTACTTTCAAAGAGGATTGGAAATAGATTAATTACGTACCATATTCATTATATCGCAGGCAATTAACTTCTAAGATGTAAATACCGCCCACAAAAGACATAAAATTTTAACATTATTTTTAACCATTTAAAGTGGCTAACCAATTCAATTGTTTGCAATACAAACCTCAACGGATCATGTTGCATTACCAATTATCTTTATTGCCATCCACAGTGACTATAGTAGCTCAGATGCAGTTGAAAAAGTGAGAAGATTTTTAAATCAATGAAGAGTTTCATTCGTCTCTACCACTTTATTAAAATAACTTTTATGATATTGTACCTTAGTCTATGATGTTGAGGAACTTGCTGGTTCGCCTTAATAATAAGTACTATAAAGAACAGGAGTGGTCAAAGCGCTGTACTTTTGTCCTTAATTCATTTCAAGCTCTTCTAATGTAACTTCTGCAAAACTAGCAGATAAATGACAGTACATAGTCTACAATCCCAGCTGAGTTTGGAATAAGAATAGTCATATGTTCCATGAAAAAATGGCATTTTTCTTCCTATTTTTACTCCAACAACCTTACATTCGCTCGCATTAGATTTAAAAACAAATAGGTGATTATAAATATTATTATAAGCAAAGGGTAAATTTCAATTTAACGGACACAATCTTGAGGAAACACTTGGAACTCGGAGGAACGGAATAATCTCGATCTCCTCGGATTTTCCCGAATTTCGCTAAACTTTTCGCAAGTTTTCGGTCTTTCTCTTGTTAGTTCATTTATATAGATCCAAATTTGACGGGACAACCCATCGTGAAAATATATTATTTATGGTTGAAGCTAATATAATTGTATCTAATAAACCAAACATATCCACAAAAGTGGTAATGGAGCGGAGAAGAGAAGCAAAACGTAAAGATGTTTGAACGTACTGAACGACAGCCCACTTACCTCGGAAAGGTGATGAAATATACAAGGCTTTTTATTATTTCAAAAAACAACCAAAAAATGCAAATTATTTTTAGATTTTATGTGGACGAAACGCAAAACAAAATTTTACATACTCTCAAGGAAATTTGTTTAATAATTTGTACAGTTTAGTTTTCACCTTGACAGTAATTAATACCTTCACCGCCGAATAATAGTTAATCCAAAATAAAATGAGCAACTCACCGCAGTCTATCTGATCTCCCTTTTCGAAATCATAATCGGCGATTTCACTGTACCACATCAGAGTCGCTTCAGTGCCTTCAAATAAAGGTGAGTTGTGAGTTTAGGCGGAATTAAATAATTGTTAAAAACCACTTTGTTGTAAGTAGCACCAACGCACCGGTTAACTTAAATCCGGGAGTGCCAGTTTTTTTGGCAATATTTTCACCATAATCAAGAGCTAAACTATGTATCATTCGACGTTTCGAAGCAAGGTATTCAGCGTGTTTTTGAGCCTGTTCAGCTAATTCGGGATCGTAGGTCAGCGGGCTGCAACCATGAAGCGCCCTAATCCTTCCGACAAATAGGAAAATTGCGATAACTTACGGCATACTAACTTGAAAGTTTAAAGGGATTCAATAATTTACACAAGATTGTCAAAAGAACAAAGTTTACGAATATCAGTTCAGTGTATAATTTGTTAGAAATAAGGATTATCATTTTTGTCAAAATGACTAGAAACGGTAATCCAACATTCTTTTAAAATCAGCAATCGCTCATATTAAAATAACTAAGAATTTTATCTTTAAAATTTAATCAATTTCAATTGCCTTGCAAACACACGGAACAGAAGTTACTTATAATTTTTAAAATATTAAATACGTGATAATAATGTAATTTAATAATGGATTGAAGTGACTACTCTTACTTGTTATGCGCCTCAATGGCTTCCTTGTTAAGTTTCAGGAGTGGATCCATTTGCAATGAACAGATACGAAAAAAAAGTGAAAATGACGAGAATGAGAAAGAGAGGAAATCAAATATGAACTTAAAGTAAACTCAGATGAAAACTTTTGTGGTCAGTGCATTGTGGTTCGCTTCACGTGAAGGAGACCAAATTCAATTCTCACTCTTGTAATTAAGGAAATTAGCCAACGCTTTTTCCCTCTAAAAATAGGTTGCAATATTATTAATACGCCAATACACCTGAAGTAAAAGTGGTAGAATGATTTTAAAAATAGGTGTAGATTTGCAATAATAGCATGTGGCAATAGGGCCAGTCTGTATGTTGGAAAAATCTTGGATCAGTTGTGTCTCCAAATAAATTATCAAAGAGTGAATACATGATGAATAAAGCGATGAATAAGAGGTAAATCTGATTCTAAGATCGAATCAATTAAGACTCAGTTACAAAATTCTTCAAATGATCCATTATCGTGTATTGAAAAGTGAATGTAAACAAGTTAAAGTCTGTCCAGAATTCTTTCTTGAAAGATGCTCTAGCATCTACCCTAATAGGCCTTGACTATACTCAGTAGTCACCTTGGCAGATTCTCCTAAGTTTGGAAAGTCTCCGTTAATTATCTAAACTACCTCAACCCCAAAGAGAAAACAGACGTATTGCTTGGAGCTCATTTATTTGGGATTGTCCAATTACAGACGGGGAACTAATTCATAATATACGCTTTCTGGAATGATAACCACGTAATGGCTTCGACCGTTGATTGGTCGTCAATGCTTTGGCCACGCAAAAGTTGTGCTCCCCACAAAGTCAAGGTGATACCGCTTCCGAATTTTCATTGAATTCCTAATTATTGTCAACAAAAAGTCAGAAATTTCGTGTTATTTCAGTCAGCTCAAAGCTGACCTGAAGCAATGGCGATTGGCGAGAAAGAAATGAGATTAGGAGGTTGGATAACGTAGGGGGGAGGGGGGGGGGTAGAATTCTAACTGGAAAAAAGTATGTCGGGAAAGGAAAAAATATCTGCTTAGTTGATCGCTTTCACTGGTTCTTCGCCATTGTGTACGTAGGAGATGAAACTTGAGAACAATCTACCATTAGAGGACACATTGTCCACAGACTGATACACCCCCCTATCCAGTGGAGGATTGAGAACCAAGGGTAAACGCGTGACAGTTGGCATTTCACAAAAGTGCAAAAACAAAATACAGAGGAAAAATAGAAAAAAATACATTTGTCTGTGTAAAAGTGAAATCTTCTTTATCACTTTCTACTATCCATTTTGCTTAAGTGACTTCCATGATAATAACACATTTTTTGGCTCGTTAGTTGAAGAACCATCGATTGGAATTGACGTCAATTAGGTTGATTAACTCATTTTAACTTATTTATTTTAAGGCTTCTTCTCTGGTATATTTCTGATGTAAGCTGATGAGCAATTTAACTTTTGAACTTGAATGTCTTGCATGAATTAATTTGAAAAAATTACTCCCTGGCTTGTTTCCTTGCCGATTTTTTGCAAATCCAAATATAATTATTCGGTCTACTTCTGTTACTCAGTACCATCATTCTCACCCGGTTCCAACTGACCCATTGGCATGGAATCGCTCTATTCCAAACACTATTTAACGCCAATTAGAAGTCTCTGAGCCAATACTTTTAAAGCGCATTAAGGAAAATGTTGATGCGTTGGTGACGCACTGCTCACATCACTACATAGGATGTCAGGATTCGAGTCTCTCATAGGGAAGGCTCTTTACTCATGACAAAGAGAAGTGTTGGCAACACTTAGGCCTGGTAGAGAGAGACAGCATTTTGGAGTCTACCACCTCGTTTACCAATATTAACTTGTGTTTGATGTGCTCTAGTGAGCCTTGACCCATTAATCTCTCTTTCTCTCTCTTACTCACTGACTAGTCAGCTTCTACACATCAGGCATTTGGAAAAAGCATCAAATTGGCTTTCGCTCTGCACATGAAAATGAGATCTCTTAACCGCAGAATAAACCGGTGTGGGGGGGGGGGTGTGAAAACTTTCTGAATACAAATCCTTCCTTTTGATTGGGCAGACGATGATTAAAGCTCATTATGAGACGAATCAACTTGTTGGAAAGGTGTTACATTAACCAGGAATGATGTATCATAGGAAGAAGCAAGAAAAGCGCGTGGATAATGGGTCTTCCGATCAGTCACAACTGGAAAATTTTGATTATGAATCAGAGCCTCTAGACCTTTCTCTCCCAAAATTGGCTGTAAAGGATACA